ATTGTTTACCTGGAGAGTGCCCCCCTCAGCTATTTCAGACTTTCTAGGGTTAAACCCAAAGCTGCCTGCAGGGAATGAGTGAACTAAACCCATCAAGGACTGATCTCAAGGGATGACTCCTGTTTCACTTTCTGCAAGGCAGGCTCCCAGAAATTGAGGCACAGAAGGGGATGGATGCCCCCAAGCACCCCCTGTTCTCACAGGGTGTCACCTCCAGACATTCTAGGGACCCCTCTCTACCTCCTACCACCAAGGCCAGGCCAAGTCCCCACGGAGGGGGTGACAACCTGCAGAGCAAGAAATGTTCAAGTATTTCAGCACCTACAAGAAAACATGGGTATTTTCAGACCAGAGCTAGGCTTGAGGAAGTGCATGAGAACAGATGAATCAGTTCTCCCCCACTGCCACCTCAGACCCTCTGTGTGGCCCAGACAGGTCCCTTCCCTGCCCTGCCCCTCATTCCCTTTGGTTCCCTCTGCCTTTCCCTTCTGGTGCCCCATGCAGGGTAAGAAGTGCCTTGCCCAGAGGTGCCTGTCTCCTGTTTGTAGTGACAACCCCAGTGTCACTGCAAACCCCAGCTCCAGCAAAAGTGGATGTGCCATCACAGAAACCTTCCCTGAATCCAGTTCTGGTATCAGCTGGCTCTGCTCTCCTCCTCTCACCACAGAACTGTGACTTTCAGGGCAATCTTCTCTGGGTATTTTGGACAATGAATGTGTTTCTTGCCATGTAATTAAATTATCCACTTGAGAAAGAAAAAGATGTGGTTTTGTTCCCATTACAAAAACAAACAAACAAGGACTGATATTTATTACAGGCCGAGGCTACTCAACAAGTGTTTTCTGGAACTCTAATAAATTGCTGAAGAAAGTTTACAGCTGAGCTCTAAAGATGGTTTAGTTTTCCAAGGGGCTGGGATGTATTTATTTCCCATTTTCTTAACCCACAGTATGGTGAACAGCTTAACGTGCTCTTTCCAGGGTTCAGATGGTGTAAACCCAACCCCATGCTCTTCACCCCGAAACAGTTAACCACTTTTTAATTAAAACCACACCAATTATTCATTTGCAAGTTTCGCATTTATTTTTCCCCGTTTGCTCAGCCTGCTATTTGGTTTTGCTCCCACTTCGTTAAAACAGCTTCCAAAAAAGTTGAAAAATAAAATAAATATAAAATTTAAAAAAAAAAATTTAAAAATTTAAAAATAAACCTGAAACCTTCAGCCACACACCAAACCCAAACAACAGAAGTAGACAGCAAGGAGCATTTCAGCCAAAGTGAGGATCTTGTCCTGTGCAGATGCTGTGGGCTCTCTGTCCTGTTTGTTCCCCCTGCAAGGAGCAGCCCAACACTTCAGCAGCCAGGGACTCTCACCCTGCCACAGTTTAAACCCTCTCCTCCCTTCAGGCACATCATTTGTGTCCAGAGATGGGTGTGGACAGATCTGGGAGCAAGGCACTTAAACACAAGTCGGTTGTTAAGCACGTGCTTAAGTATTTGGCTGGATTAGCAAACTGGTTTCGAAGGGTTTGCATTTAGAAAGAGCCCCCAAAACATTAGAAAGTTGATTTTTTTTTTTTTTTTCAGTTCATTACTGGGCCTGCCAATGACATCATTCGTTTGCAAGATGAGAAAAAGTGTTTAAACGAGATTTAAAAAAAAATTAAACAAGACGCAATTTTAATGGCCACTTACAAAGGAGATTTATGGACGTGCATAAAGCTGCTTTCCATGGGAGAGGGACTAAGCTTTTAGCAGTTACCTTCCTTTGGGTTTTTTTCCCCTCTTGCAATATAATACCCACAAATATTTGTGAGTTGTGACTGTGCTCCGAAGGGTTAGTCCTCTTCCAGAAAGGGGGGTGGAGGGAGAAAAGAGTGGTGCCAATTTGTCTGCCCAGACTCTGATTATGGGAGGTGGTGGGGTTTTTTTTTTCCTTTCCTGCAGGGGAGAGAAGCTGGTGGGACATTTTCTCTCTCCGGGGTTAGGGATATCTGATACCCAGCCCAAGAGCAGTCCAGCAGACTGAACTTTCATCTCCAGCAGCAAGGGATTTAAAATAAAAAAACCCAACCAAACCTTGTGGATAAAAGTCTTAGTTCAATTTGCAGGAGATCTTGGACTTTCTGCTGGGGAAATTAGGACCATTTGAAGGTCTGATTGTAAGGAGCAGAGTGTGTACATGGAGAAGGGGAGAGAGAGAGATCACTTGGAGGAAGGAGGTGGTTTCAATACATCTATTTATTTATTTGTGTGCCCTGGGCCCTGCCCTCCTCCCTCCTATCCTGCTATCCAATGACCCTCGGTGCTGATTAAAGTTCCCGGGTGACCTCTGAGTGCTTTTGTTCCCCTGCCTGGTAATAAAACCCCGGTTAAACGGCTGGCTTATCCAAACCCAGGGCTCCTTACACAGCCAGCTCTGGAGCCAGCTCAAGTCTGAGCCCTTGGGAACAGCAGCTTAGCCCTCTTCAGCTTGGCCAGCCCTGCTTAGCTGCCCTGGGGCAGGGGGGAGTGGCTGCAGATCCTGGTGGCTGTCTCAGTGCCACCAGGTCGCTGTCACAGGGGAATAGGAACCCTGGAAGTGCCACAGCCTGGTTTCTTACCAGGCAGGTAAATCCACTGAAGTCCTCCAAGGTGCTGGAGCAATAAACACGGGCATCATCCACTGCAGGACTGTGTCCTGTGCTCACACAGCTCACAGCCACTGCAACCAAACTGTGGTCACGAGGTGTTTGTGCTGATACTTGTGTGGTTTCCTGGTGGAACCCTGGTCATGGATTGTCTGGAGAGGCCACAGGGTGTGACATCTGCCCCCTCCAGCCCAGGGCTGCCAGCCCCATGGCATCCCTGGCAAGAGCAAAGCCAAGGGAGGGAAGAGCTGAGCTCTAGTTCAGATCCACAACCAGCCAGCCTGGGATCAGGACACTCCTCACAGCCCCTCTCCCACTTGGTGGAAAGATGATGGGAAAAGGAACCAGAAAAGCAGTTCTTGCCATTGGCAGCTGGTGAATGTGCCTGTCATCCCTGTTGAAAGCTAGGTGACAGCTGTGGCAGCTCTGCCTTGGAATCTAAAATCTGGGACTAGTGCAGACAAACTGATAAACAAATTTCCACTCTCTCAGCCCCCTCCTCCACTTGTGTTTTATAAATGACAAGGCAAGGGAAAGGCTCCAGCCCAGACTGGGTCAGAGGACGTCTGGGCAAGGCAGGTTGAAGCCCTGGTAGTGAAAACTCCAACTCAGGTGCTGCACAGCCAGCCCAGCCGCCCCTGCTGTGAAAATCAAACCTCTGAGACTTGGGGGTACTCCCAGGAGCCATCCAGAAGGGGCTTGGCAGAAATACCATTCAGGAGGGGTTGTCCCTGGCTGCATTGGGCATAGAACTCCCTCCCCAGCCCTCAGCTGAGCCTGCTACGAAGTGCTAGGTCCCCTGAAGGTTCTGTTGCTGTGAGGTGGCTCCATCCCCACAAAGTTTTCCATCCTTCCTCCCCCACACACGGCCAGGGGAGATGGCAAAAACTCCCCTCAGCTGCTATCCTGGGACACCTCCCTTATTACACCTGGTGCACAGCAAAAAAAATGTAAGTGCACGGCCTTGCCCCAGCATCCACATGGGCTGGAGCACGTGTGCAAGTGTTATCCTGCCTCAGGTTTTAAATCTTGTACAGTGTCAGTGCTGGGATATTCCTAAATAAGTTCCCAGAGCCAAGTCTTTCTCACCCCCATGAACCAGTAACAAGGCACCTTGCTCTGACTGGAGATGTGATAGCACTTCCAGGAATGATTGTGTGTGCTGTGAACTCAGCCTCTGGTTCAAAATATTGTGCAGAGGAATAATAAATCTCAGTACTAAACTGCTGCCCCATTTAAGCTTTGATTAGACTCTGATGGTCTGTTCACCCTGGAGCTGCTGGTATTAATCTGCATGCTAAACCCTAATTATAAACTGCTCATGGCATTTCCAGATGACATCAAGATGTTTGGGATTAAAGGAAACCCTGATGTTGAGTTTACAGCTTGGAAGGACTGTAGACTACCTGATCCCCACAGATGTAATAACACACCTTGGGGAGGAAAGAAAAGAGGGAGGCTCGGTCCAAGTGTGTAGCAGGAGTTTGTGGGGCACAGGTCTGGCTGCAGACCCCAATATGAGCACACACCCCCAAAATCCCCCCCACACCTGTAAAGGGATGTGAGATGCACACAGAAGTGCCCCTGTCCCCAGCTCCACACAGATCTCACCCAGCCCTGACTGCAGCAAGTGCAGAAGGGCTTGAGGCCAGGCATGGATGGGATGGCTGGAGGAAAAACTTTTCAGGGGGAAAGAGTTCTGGTTTGGCTCCACAGCACTGCATCATCGAGGAGTCCAGCAGTGGGGATCTCAGGGCATGGGACACTGGGGATGCAGGCTGAGAGATGCTCTGAATCCCTGCCTCTCACCAGCTTTCCCCTAAGGAGCCCTGATGTTTTGGAGTGCAAAGGGCTGTGTTGGAGCACTCCCTCTCCAAAGCTGCTGGGCCTAGGAGAGGAGTGCACATCATTTGTGCCCTCTGCCCTCTCAATCACCAATCTAAACTGCTTGCACCCCATCCAGGCCCTGAAGAGAGCAAAGCTGCAGGGCATTCAGCATGTCTGCAAACAGCTGAGTGTCCTGCAAGGAGCAGGAATAGATGGTGTGTGCATTCTGGGCAGGTTTCCTACAGACACAAGCTTGTTCTGACTGTCAGCTCCTGCTCCTCACTGCCCCCCTGCATTATTTTCTTATTTAATTTCTAGGATGAAACACATTTGGCAGCTCAAAAAAGGGCTCTGAGACTTCATACACTGAAAATGAAGTAGGGGAGACCCAAAGGACTTTCCCTCACTGAGCAAAATGCTTCTTCACCTGAATGCCATGATACCATCATCCAGCTAAGGACATACACGTTCTTCTGCCTGGTTTCTTTTATTCATACCCAGGTGGAAGAAAAGCTATTTAGGACACGTGAAAGAAGGGGGCAATCTGTGCTGGCAGAGGCACATGGTGTGGTGGGCAGTGCAGAGGAGTAGGGTGGCAGGGCAGGGCAGAGGAATGCTTGGCTTTCTTGCTGCTTTGCACCCTCCTGCTTCCCACTAGTGCCAACCCCAAGGGGTGTGAGATGCCCTGGGGATTTTACAGCTGCTCATCTGCTCTGGCTGTTTCTTCTTGGTTCCAAGACTCTTGGGAGGCTCCTCAGGTCCTGTTTGTTGTACCTGAAAAGTGGCACCAAAACTGTGGAGCTCCAAAGCTGCTGTTCAGACAGATGTGAAGGGAATGTTTCTGAGGGTTTAGAACATGCTTGGAGCTGGGAACCACAGGAGCTGCCAGTGCTGGACTTCATGGGAAACTTCAAAAATCAAAATTACAATCCAGTTAGGGGATTTCTCACTGGCACTGTGGGGTGTTTGTGATTTTCATTGAGAAAGCAGAAGCAAAACGTGCTGGTCATCTGCAGAGATGCAGATATTTGGGGTTCCCCTTCTTGAAATGCAGCTAGGGAAGGGAAAATGGGGGAGTTTGTGGTTTTTGCTTCACTTTCTCCCAGTGTTGGACATGATCACAGCAGAGGGGAGGTAGGTTTTGAGGCAAGGCTCCAGCTGGTGAGTCTCACTGATGTCCTTCAAAATGATAACCACTTGTGGGAGCAGGAAGGGCAAAACTGGGTCTGGCTGTGGTGTGAGGCTGAGCCTTTCAGCTGTGGGTGCTTCACCAGGCAGACTTCTGGCAGTTTCAGGACTTTTGGGCTTTTTCTTCTGCTCCCTTGCTAGGAGTGGCTCAGTTGCTCCTGCCCTGCTGGGAGTGTGAGCAGAAGGCAACCATTTGCTGGACAGCTGGGAAAGGGAGGAATGGGGCTGTGAGCAGCCACGGGGCAGGTGCACACTGCAGAGGAAAAGTGGGATGGGAGGATGGGGAGCTACCTGCTCAGCTTGACACCAGAGCAGTGGTGAGGGAGGAAATAAATGTCTGATCAGCTTCTTGATGGCCTCTGAGATGTTAAAAGGGTGCCTGGCCCTGCTGCCATGGGCCATCTGTGGCATGGCAGTCCTTCCCAGCCTCAGGATTGTGAGAACTGTCACCTCTACTTGGGGTCTGATGCATCATAAACTGAGCTTGCAGCACAGGCACTGTCCCTGTCAGAGCCCAGGAGGTTCCTGCTGCACTCATTTCCCCATCCTAGGTGTGCCTTGGCATAGGGCCTGTCTGGCCATAACAGAGATAACTGAGAGGTGAACTGCAGCCCTGTAGTGCTCTGTGCAGGCTTTGCTCCCAGCCTCCTTCCTTCTGGGACAGACAGAGGTGACAGAGTCCCCCTTGGATTCAGGTTGTCCCTCCCACCCAGTGACAGAAATCCAGAAAATTGTGTTGTAGGAGGGGTTCAGGTCACGTTCAGAATGTGAATCAGGCACCCTGTATTGGAATTCAGCCTGTGGGTGCTGCATGTGAGGGGAGCAGCCAGGACTCACTTCAGGATGAAGCCTCAGTTTTGGAGCTGGGTATTTCCTCTTTCCAGGGGAAATTCAGGCTGCATTCCCAACCCCAGGGCTGGCAGGGAGCTTGGTCTGAAGGATGCACTTAGGCATGGGGAGATCTCAGCAGGGATGTCAGTGAGGGCATTGCTGAAGGTGGCACAAAGACCTCTTGGGCTGGTTTCTGCGGCTCCTGCTGACACCTCCAGGGCTAAGAGCAGACCCCTCTGCCCGTGGAAAGGGATGTTTATGGCTGGGCCTCTGCAGCACCCACTCAGGACAGCCAGCTGCAACATCCATTTGAAGCAGATCAGGGAGAAAGAGGGTAAAGCCCAGCTCACCAAGAAAGGAGGCAGCAAGCAGATATCTGGGAAAGGCAGAGAAAAGGGCATTTCGTGATCAGGGTATGTACAGGTGACCACCCACCCTGCCTCTCCTGACCCTGCAGAGCCAGGGTACAAGATGCCAGAATACAAAAGCCAGCCAGATACAGCTTTGCACACCCATGTGGAGGCACAGCTCCTTCCCCATCCAACACGTGGACATGTACCAGAGGACATCACACAAACCCTCCTTCAGATGCAGAAGAAGTCACTCCGTGCTGCATACACAGATGCGCCCACAGCATTTTGGCTGTGTGCACACCCACATGCTTCTGTGCACATGCACGACTTGCCCCAAAGTTTGTTTTCTTTTCGGCCTTTCCACCCAGTACCCACCAGCTTTGCCTACCCCCCAAACTGGGGACAGCAGAGCTCTGCAGCCCTGCCCTGCTCATTTGGGTCTTTGAGACTGCAAAGGGTAAACTGGGACCAGAGTGGGGGGGGCCTGAAAGCAAACTAATGATGAAAATGTCTCCTCCATGCCTGTGCCTTAATTAAATGCATGGAGAGGCTCGGCGAAGCACATCTGTTTTCAATCTGGAGCCCTTTGATGGCATCAAATGTTCTTTCCCCAGATCAGGGGGGATGGAAATTCTGGGCTGGCTGTGGCAGCTCGGAGCCCCGGCTGCAGCCCCCGGGAGCAGCGGCCTTTGCTGCCCGCGGCTCCGGCCCCTCACGGCCGCTGCCTGTCCCCGGCCACAGGGCCGGCACAGCCTGCGGGGACCTCTGCTTGCCGGCCTCGGCAGCTCCGACTGTGTCCTCGGGTTTTTTTAGTTTCTTTTTCCCCTTCCCTTCTGTTCTTTTCACTTTACTCTCCTATTGGTCTGTTTCTCTCAGTTCTCTGCTGCACTTTTCCTTCCTTTTGCGCTGTTTTTCCTCTTCCTTCCCTCTCTCCTGTTCGCACTTTCTCTTCCATTACCCTCGCTCACCTTTTCATCTGCATTTCTCATTTTCGCTATTCCTCTCCACCCTCCTCTCCAGGTGCAGCGCCGGCCGGCAAGGGGGGCCTGCCCAGCACCCTCCTTGGCCTGAGCCGCGGGCCCAGCCGCTGCCACCCCCGGCCCGGTGCCACGTCCCGGCGGGGCCCCGCGGGCCGCCCTCCCCCGGGTGCCCGGAGCCGCCCCCGCCGTTTGAAGTGCGGGGCGGAGGGGAGGGGAGGGCAGCGCAGGGGCGGAGGGAGCGGAGCCGGCGGCAGCGGGGGCGGAGGGACGGGGCGCACCCGCCCCAGCGGCCCCACAGCCGCCCTGCGCCTCTCGGCCGGCGGCAGCTCCCCGCGCCGCCGCCCCGGCGCCCCGAGCCGGCCGCCGCCTCTCCCCTCCGGCATGTTTTAAGCCCGGCCCTGCCCGCTCCCCTTCGGGCTTCCCTACCCGCCGCCGTCGGGTCCCGTCCCGTTCGCCCCGGTGGGCGCCCGCGGGGGGCGAGGGCAGAAAAGCCCCGCTCGGCACCATGGCGTCCAGCTATGCCCACGCCATGGAAAGGCAGGCCCTGCTGCCCGCCCGCCTCGACGGCCCCGCCGGCCTGGACAATTTACAAGCCAAGAAGAACTTCTCCGTGAGTCACCTGCTGGACCTGGAGGAGGCGGGCGACATGGTGGCCGCCCAGGCGGAGGAAGGCGGCGGCGAGCCCGGCCGGAGCTTGTTGGAGTCCCCCGGGCTGACCAGCGGCAGCGACACCCCGCAGCAGGACAGTAAGTGCGGGGGCATCCTCCCCTTCCACCTCTCGCCGGGGCAGCCGCGGCGGGCGGTGCCGGCTCCGAGGGGGCTCCGCTGGTGCTTAGCCCGGCTTTCCCCGAGCCCCGGCGGGGTCGGCACCCGCCTGAGTGTGAAAACCTTTGGTTTCCCCCAGCCGCGTCCCAGCAAAGGGGCGACCTGCCCTCCACCGCCGCGCCCGTCGGGTCCGGTGCCGTGGCTCCTGCACCCTGCGGGGAACCGGAGAACATCCCGGGGAGCAGAAGCGAGCAGCATCGGGCCCGCGGGCTCGGCCCCCTCGTCCATTCCTTGGCGGGTTGGGCTGAGAACGGCGCTTGGCTGGACGGGGCGAGGCGCGGTAGGCGCTGAGCATCCATCCATCTATCCATCCCTCCCATCCATCCATCCGCCCCGTTCGTCCGTCCGGCCCGTCGGAGCGGGCACCGGCGCCGTGGTTAGCGGGACACCGGGAGGCTGCTCAGGGATCTGGATGAGGTCCGGACCATTGTCCGATGCCCTGCCCAGAGCGCCGGGGCTCGCAAACAGCCCGAGGGTGCGTGCGCGGCTCCCAGGTGCAGCCGCAGATTGCCGCTCCCCGAGCCCCGGTTCTCCCCGACCGGGCAGGGAGGGGACAGACGGGTCTCGGAGCTGCCCGTGCTGAGCAGTCCGAGCTCGGCAGCTCGGGTAGCCGTGACCCAGCGGCCGTGGGTAGCGGGATGGGCGCCGGCTTGCGCTGCGTTTTCCAAGCGCCGCGTGTTGTTTTCCAAGGGCAGCGCTGTCAGAAAGGCTGAGGGGGATGTGCAAGGGCTGTGCAGGGTCAGTAACCCCCCTTTAGCCGCTCTCTGTTAAAATAATTACATCCCCGGCCCCAGGAGTTCCGTGGGGGTCCGGGCTGGCCGCGGCTGCGGACACGGGCTCACTTCCGAGGGAGCTTCCCGGCGAAGAACGGGGAAAAAAACAACAAAACGAAACGAGAAGCGAACGAAAACGCCAACTGCAATTTTCGTTCGCTTTTCGATTTTTTTTTGTTGGTTTGGTTTTTGTGGCTTTTTTTCTCCGCGGGAGCCGCCTCCGACCCTCTTTTCCCCGTGGATCCGACGTGGTTTTCTCGGTATTCCGAAGGAAACCGAGCTGGGGCAGCGGGAAGCCTTCCCAAAAGCAGCCGCTCCTTGCAGAAGCGCCCGTGGGATGCCCGGGCTCGGCCCGGCCGGATGCGTTCCCGGCGGGGAGCATCCTCCGGGAGCGCGGCCGGAGCGGAGCGAGCGGTGCGCGGCTGCCGGAGCGGCTCCTCTGCTCCCCCGAGAGCCGGATCGACCGCCGCTGGGACATGGCTTAGAAATATTTCCTTCCCAGGACCCGAAAAACTGCAATTTCTGGCTTTAAAGGTGTGTATTTTAGTGGGGAAAACAGTGATTGCGGCTGCCCCCCATTCGGCAACTTGTGCCGCTGGAGAATCTGCAAGATATCAAATGCAGACACCTTTTTTTTTTTTTTACTTCTGCTCTCTACCCTATTTAGTTTATCATATTTTATTTGGATTTACTCCTGATTTACTACGATTTTCTCCTGATGTTGCCCCTTGCCAGCTGCGAGCTTGGTCAGCGTGGAAAAGGAGACCTGCGTTTCACCAATACTCACCTTGCTCTTAAAGCGTGAAAAGAACCCCCCAAAAAAGCAGTCCAAGGGCTTATTTTCCAGCCAGCACTGCTGAGCAGGGACCAAACTACAGCTTCAAATAATTTAGAAATTCTCTGAATGCTGTGAAAGTTTTAATACCGTTGCGGTGAATTAGAAAGTTTTAGAAGTATTCTAAAATAAGCAATGACAAAAAAAAAAAAAAAAAGGGGAGAGGTATAAATTCCACCAGGTTTATTGGGCAGAACTGTCATCTGGGCTTTCTGGCTCTCTCATGGATGCATTTAGCACATCCCGGGAGTCTCTGTGCCTCAGTTTCCCTGTAAGTGTTATGCAATCCATGCAGGAAAGGGACTGTGCTGGAGCTAGGAAGTGCAGCAGAGGTAGGAGCTTTTCGCGGTGAAAAATGAGAACAGGTTCAGTGGAAAAGCTAACACAGGGCTCAGTTACTCTCCATGTTTTTAAGTGAGAAAAGGTAAAAGATGTTTGAAGAAATTGCAGATTTCTCAAGAATACTAAAAATGTTCTCCCAACCTGAAGGAAAATCATCTGGTCTGCCACTGATTTTTGTTCCAAACTGAAGCGAAAAACCAAATTATTGGTGCTGGTTTTGTAAACAAAAGTTAAGAGAAGTAGTTTGATGCAGAAATTACAAAAGGTTTTGTTTGGATGTTTGAGATTGAAAGAAATATTTCACCGCTGGTTTTTTTTTTTTTGAGAGAGATTCAGGATAAAACATTTCTCTTATTAAAAAGAAAAAAACATTCCTGGGAGTAGCTGTGATTGTAACATTTGCAGGGAGAGCTGTCCGTGGGTTAAGGAGCTGAGTTTGCAGCAGTGCTGCGGAGCTGTCATTCTTACCTAGTTCACTTCAACTCGTAGCTCTGAACACCTTCCCCTAAAAGCTGATAAACATCAGGGCAAACCTCCCTGCCTCTGCTGCTTGGCTGGGAAGGCTTTGCAATCGCAGTTCCAATTTGTGACAAAATAACCTGTTAAGATAAAACCAACTCTTGCTGTGGTAGCACAGCTTTCGCTAACCCCGGCTAAAGCTGGGATGAAAATGCTGAGTTGAGGGGATCCCCCAAACTTCCCAGAAAAGGCAATGATCTCCTATTGCTTTTGTGCCCTTTGAGGGTGACGGAAACCTGTCACTTGTCTGTGGGTTCCCAAAGCTTGTGGCTCTGGAGTAATTTTCACTTGTTTTTTTTTTTTTTTTTTTTAGATGGGTATTTTTGACTTCTGCTTTTTCTTTTTTTTTTTTTTTTTTTGGTTGGTTTGTTTGAGACTCGCTGTTGATGGCTCATAAAATGGTGTGGAGAAAGCATGAACAGCAAAAGAAAAATTGTTACACTGGGATTTCTCTTGTAAGGAGTGAATAAACCGTGCTTCAGTCCATGACATGCTCAAGTTGTGTGTTTTGGAGTTTTTGCTGTCCTTTAATCTCTCTTCAGTATAAAAGTGCTGGCACTCAGGTGGCTGAGAGATTATATCAGGCTGAATCCCAATTAAAGCTGGACACAGGCTGCCTGAGTCCCCCCATGATTTTTTTCCTGTCCCGGTGAGCATCGTGACCGCTCAGTGCTGCTGCTCCTTCTCAGGGAAATGCCAGAAGCCCTGCTGGGACAAGGTGAGTGGCTTCCTCTGCTCAGGCAGGTCAGGCAGAGCATCGTGGGGCTTCAGCCCCTCTTCCCTGGCAGCAGACTGAGGAAAGGCTTTTTCAGCCTTCTCACTGTTGGGTGGTGGGGCTCATCTCCCCAGGATTTTGCACAGCTCAGAAATAGGTGTTATTTCGAGAAAGGACTGACAGATTCAGGGAGGGCTGAGCATGGCTGCTCACTGCAGCAGTGTTTGGAGGCAGTGTCCCGCTCAGGGAGCCGCCAGTCACAGGCTGGAAGGATGAGCTGGGGCAGAGATCTTTCCCTTGCTGCCTGGGCTTAAACCCTCTGACTGCTGTTCCTGGCTGTCTGAAACAGCATCCTGAGCTGGAGGACTTTGGGTCTGCTCCCACATGGCTATTCATTTTGCCTTCATTGCCTCTTTTTAATCAGAACAAGTGAGGTTGCTGCAGGAGTAAAAGAGAGTGTCTAAGTACTGAATTGTCTGTGCTCCTGTGCCTCTCCATCCTTCACCAAAAAAAAAAATTGTAATAAGAGGTGGAAAAGCTCTGCCACTGCTTGGAGATGTGGAAAGCAATTCCTTGGGCTGCTGAATTGCTGAGGGTGAAGGTGAGAAGCGCCTGGGACATCTGCAGGGTTTTCTTTGCAAACCTCTGCTTTATCTTGGACTGTTGAGAATCTCTTTTGTTAGTAAATCACAGCCCTTATTCCCCGAAAATGCGGAGTCCATAGTCAGGGGATGTACAACTGATAGGTAGAGGAAGGAAAAACTGATCAAACCCAGGAGTTTTCTTCCTGTCTTGTCCTGCTGATGGACAAAGACTCTTGCGGCAGCAACTGTGCTGGTGTCCGCAGGTTACACCGGCGTGAGCCGGGGAAACCGCTGGTGCCTCAGTCCCAGCAGCAAATCTTCCTCAAGAAAGACTCTCCAGAGTTCTCCTCTTCCAGAAACCGATGTAGGAAAAGCCAGGATCAGATCATTACTATTTTTAAGGTGCTTGTTATAAATTATCTGCCTGAAAAACGCAGTTCTTTATCGGCAACATCTTTTCGCGTGCCGATTTTACTGCGCGTATCCTCAAGGCTTTGAGGAGAGCTCGCTTGACTGAAGGTTGAGTAACAGATAACTAACACCAAGCAGTTGTTAGAAGTTTGATTAACTCCTTTCCATTGGTGTTCTTTGGGCATATCTATCTAATTTTTGCCTCAGGCTGGCAGATGCGTGGTTATTGCAGCAAGTATCGCGGTGTCAGATATTTTTCTTGCATCCCTGAATCCTGCAGTTTGAAGTGGGAAAACGTTTTGTGTTTGTTATGTAAATTCCTGGACAAAGAAGATGGAAATGTGGCTCTGCCACATATCTGGAGTCTTAAAAAAAAAAAGGCACAAAGAAATAAACGAAAATGGTCAAGGTACTGTTATTAACAAAGAAAAAAAGAGCCATGTGAATGTAGAGGAGGGAGCTGGCTCTGTGAGTGCTTTTCCTTTTGAGGGGTGAAAAGAAACTTCTATTTGTTTGTGAATTTCACTTTTTTTAAATCATAATCAGTTTTGCTTCCTGGTTCTCATGGTCTCCTAATTTGCTGATGGTATTTATGTTTTCAATCCATCCACTCAGAGCTTCCAACTTTTTAATTTGAAAAAGATTTTGCCGAAGGTTTTTACTTTCCCTCCTTCCCCCCTTAATGTAATGAAAACATTTCCATGAAAATTAGATTTTGAAATCTCTCATAAAACTGAAAGGT